TAAAAAAAACATACCATACTATACTTTGATATATATTATATATATATATATAATATATATATATATATATATATATATATATATATAATATATATATATGTATCTCTTTGTATATATATAAACTAGTTATACCTCTGTCCAATGCAATCTACTATGTTCTTAAACCTATCATGAGCATTGCGTCCATATAATGCATCCCACATAAATTTTTCGATGTGTTCCGGTAGAAATGGAGAGCTCATCACTCCAAGTCGTCTTAGGTATTGTTTACGACGAGACCCAATACCCTTCTACTTGATTTCTACAGACCCCTATTAGTAGATCTTAAAAAATTTAGTGTAATTCACAGTTTTGTGAATGTACCCTAATTTTTTTAGTTGGAATATCCCTTCCACTGGTCTGTCCATATTTCACTACCTTCCCGGATGTGTATTTTAATAATCTCCACTAATACCTCTCCTTTCCTACTTTCTAAATATGTTATGTATCCCCTTTTTAAAACTATATCGTACATTCCCAAAACCCATTGTTCTTTAATTATTCTACCACGGTTATATTTTTTTTGTTACAACACTTTCATCAATTTGAACTGTGTGTCCTTCTCCACCTGCAATAATAAGAATGTGAAAAGTAACTAAATGTTAATATTTTTTATTGTTATTTTACCTAATAAAAATGGTTCTTCCGCTTGTAAAAGTTTCCAAGAAACCACATCTCGCTAATACCGATATATCTGTATAACAGATCGTTTTTCTAAATTCATTAGTTCTGCGGCACTGTAAGTGGCGTCTGACTTGCCCAAAACCACATTACATAAAATAGAGTTTTGAGTGGTACTCTTAATCCTTCAAAAAATGTACCTGTACGTACACAATATATTTTTTTGCATTTACTGCACCAAAAACCATGGTTTAATTTAATCCAATTTTTCTGTCTCACTACACATTGACGTCGACATTGTCTAACTTTGCATTTAAATTGTTCTTTAAGTAATTCAATGTTTTGCACATATTGAATTAATTCAGTATCGCTTTTTTGTGTTATATTATTTATATCAATTATAGAATTCACTTCCATTTTTCAGAAATATAAGCAAAACATAAATTTAACCTGTTCTGACAATTTACAAATTTCATCCACAGATATTTTAATTTGTTTAAATACATATCATTTAAAATATTTAAAACTGGAACAAACCTATCACAAAAATTGGCAACCTCGCACAGTCGCTGTCAAACTTCAATGCAAAAAATCATAATAAATCAAACAGGTTATATGAGAAAAAATTATTATTTTGGTGAATATCAACCACTATTTCACTATAATACAATGTTCTAATAAAAATTACTAAATATTACACACTAATATGATATAATTAAAAGGTTAGTAGTAATATATAAGTTTGTTTTATAAAAATATATCTCAAATTAGCATGGATAATAAGTGCACTGGCACCGTACATGTCATTATATTGATCGATTTGTAAACCATATAATTTATTGTTCACAAAGTAATATTTGTTGTTCAGTAGTAGTAGTATTTAGTAGCTTAGTAGCTTAAATACCTTCTACAAGAAAAAGATGCAGAGAAAATGGACGTGGTTAAGCCCAGATGGCAAAGTAAAAAATGAAATTGACTTTATACTCTCTAACTTCAAAAACATTGCTAAAGATCTTACTGTACTAAATTCTTTCAACACTGGTAGTGATCATCGATTAGTTAGGACGCGAATAGAAATAAATACGAAATTAGATAGAAGAAAATTATTAACACAGGATAAATTGCCAAACATAGAAGCACTCGAAATGAATCAAGAGGAATATCAAAGTGAACTAAAAAAGAAACTAGGGCCTCTACCAGTATTCAACACGAAAGATATAAATGAAATAACACAAAAATTAACGAACGACATAACATCAACTGCAAAAAAGATCTGTGATAAAAATAAAAATCCCAGAAAAACGAAACTGAAACAAACAACACTTAATTTAATGGAAGAAAGAAGAAGAACATCGAAAGAATTACCAGAGTATAAAGCTATCAACAATAAAGTTAAAAAGAGCATAAGGTCAGACTTGCGGGCTTATAAAACAAAACAAATATTGCAAACCATCGAAAACAATAGAAACATGAGAGTATTGAAATCAAATTTAACTAAAGGAAAATCAAATATAACTAAAATCAAAAATCAACAGGGGAATACGGTGACCGAAAAAACTCAAATAATCAAGGAAATACAAACGTTCTATAAGAATCTTTATACATCTACTATACAGAACCCCGAACCAGACCACAGAACAATTCTAAACGTCGGCTCAGAAACCCTCCCTAAAATAACCTCTTCGGAAATTAGACATGCCTTAGAGCAAATGAAAAACAAAAAAGCTCCCGGCGAGGATCGTATAACGTCTGAAATGTTAAAAATGGGCGGCAACATCGTTGTAGAAGTTGTGGAAGTCTTACTGAATAAGTGTCTAACAGAAAAAAGAATACCCAGCCTATGGGAAAACGCCGAAATAATACTTTTACACAAGAAAGGAGACACTACTAATATTGAAAACTACAGACCTATTAGTTTGTTGTCACACTTATACAAATTGTTAACAAGAATAATAACCAACCGCATAACACAAAAACTTGATTTATATCAACCGGTTGAACAGGCGGGATTTAGAAAAGGGTTTGGCGCTAATGATCACTTACAAACCAATTACTATTTATAACTGGGAATAAGCCACAATATATTTTTTTAGAATATTACAATAGCTTCAGAACACTTACAAACCATCAGAACACTAGTAGAAAAAACCACAGAATATAATGTACCTTTACATATGGCATTTATCGACTTTCACAAGGCTTTCGATAGTATTGAGACTTGGTCCTTTTTGTCAGCCCTGAAGGATGCTCGAATAGACTCACGGTACACTACACTCATTAAAAACATTTATGAACAGGCCACATTCCACATCAAAATCAATGAAGACGAAAAAACTGAAAAAATGCGCCTTGATAAAGGTATTAGACAAGGTGATACTATTTCACCAAAGCTTTTTACCTTAGCATTGGAAAATGTATTCAAACAGCTTGACTGGGAGGAAAAAGGTGTAAACATTGATGGTGTACGTTTGAGTCATTTGAGGTTTGCGGATGACATAGTATTATTTAGTACAGATATCAAGGAACTGGAGCAAATGTTGAAGGAATTAAACCAGCAGTCAAATAAAATAGGTCTCAAAAATGAACCTTCAGAAAACAAAAATAATGAGTAATTTACAAACTAATCTTGTTATTGACAACGTCAGTCTTGAAATGTAGACCACTATATATATCTTGGACATACCATTAAAATCGGCAAAGAAAATCAAATAGCCGAAATAAAAAGACGCATACAACTGTCTTGGGGAGCTTTCGGCAAATTAAGCTTTATTTTGAAGAATAAAGATATACCAATGTGTCTAAAACGTAAAGTTTATGACAAATGTATCTTGCCTGTAACTACATATGGACTGGAGACCATGGCCTTCACAAAGAAAACCTTAGAGCAGCTCAGTACAACCCAAAGAGCAATGGAGAGGGCCATGCTAGGGATTAGTTTGAGAGACAGGATTCGAAATAACGTCATTCGTGAAAGAACAAAAATTACTGATGTCTCAGAACGTATTGCAAGGCTCAAGTGGCAATGGGTCGGACACGTTGCCCGAGATAATCCCGAAAAATGGACACAAAGATTAACAAACTGGAGACCAAGAGAGAACAGGCGAGGAGTAGGCAGACCGCAGAAGAGGTGGACAGACGATATCAAACAAGTCGCGGGCAAGCAGTGGATGAGAATTGCCAAAAGTAGAAATCGATGGAAGCAAATGGAAGAGGCCTATGTCCAGCAGTGGACGAACACAGGCTGAAGAAGAAGAAGAAGAAGTATTTAGTAAACTTCATTGTTTATAATTTAATCATAAAATACAAAAATGACAATTTAAATTGTCAAACATCTGACATCAATTTGATAAAACACACACGTCATAATATATATTCTTGCATTACGTGTGGCCTAACTTTCAGAGGTGGCCTGAAAAATGTATTACATTTTTACAAAATTTTAAAGTACACTTGATTCATAGAACGGTTTTAACATTTGTTTTTAATTCAGATTTTAGTCCTCTGCAAATAGTTTCCCATGACTTTTGGTGTAAAATAATTAGGGAAGCAACAATTCAACAACATATACAGTTTTATTCCTGGTATTACTTCGTCTCCTATTCTCGTACTAGAATCTTCCAATAATATTAGTAATTCATTTGCTTCACTTCTGTTTCCACTAATGTTTGTAGCTCATCATAGTATTCTTCTTTATCGCTGTCAGGTTTGCAGTCTTCTGATGCATATATCATTATTATGTTAATAATTTTGCTGTTCGCCCTAATTTAAACTAAAAGTATTCTCTGAGATATGTACTGGCACTCTTTAATTTGATCTTTATATTTTGTTTTGATCATTATTGCTATACCTTCCTTTGCTCTCTCTTGTTTCGGAACCCCACTATATATTAGTAAACATTCTCCAAGACGCGTCTGTCCTTTACCTTTCCTCTTTGTTTCCTGTAGAGCGCAGATATCTATTTGATATTCTCTCAACTTTTTTTCTATTTCCTGATCTCGATTATTTAGGCTTTTTATGTTCCACGTCGTCACTCTCATTTTTTTTTCGTTTTCCAGTTCGTCGTCCTTTTTCTCGCCTATGTCGTTACCATAGTCCTAGTCCGAGGCTCGTCACCGGTTCTTTGCGCTTTTTTTTTATTTTTATATATGGCAGGCTGCTAACCTAACCCTACAACCCTCCTCCTTTATCCGGGCTTGTGACCGACAACATCACCCACCAAGCTACTCGACCCAACTAGTGGGTAATGCAGGCGGAGTTACATAAATTTAAATTCATAAATGTCTTCTTTAATATCAATATTCAAACTGTACACTTTTAAAAGCAACTTTACTCTTTTGTAGCTTTCATCTCTAAAAACAAGACCTGCTATTCAACCTCTAGAAGCAAGATCTGCTCTTCTGGAAACTAGACCAGCCATTCAAACTCTAGAAGCCAGACCTGCTCTTCTGGAAACTAGACCAGCCATTCAAACTTTAGAAGCAAGACCTTTAATTCAAACTCTAGAAGCCAGATCTGCTCTTTTGGAAACTAGACCAGCCATTCAAACTTTAGAAGCAAGACCTTTAATTCAAACTCTAGAAGCCAGACCTGCTCTTTTGGAAACTAGACCAGCCATTCAAACTCTAGAAGCCAGACCAGAAATTTCAACCCTTGAATTGAGACCACAAACTCTTGAAGTAAGACCTCAAATTTCAACACTTGAATTGAGACCACAAACTCTTGAAGTGAGACCTCAAATTTCAACACTTGAAAAAAAACTATCATTAAATGACAAAGTAAGTTGTTTATCATCAAGCGAAAATAATAGTAACCTGTGCTAATCTCCATTCTTTTTTAGTTGGCTTTGCTTAAAGAATGGGTTGAAGAACAAGCTGTGAGTATTACATTATTTTTATTTACCGTTCAAAAATTTCAAAAGTATAATATTTGACAAAGAAACTTTATATAAATTCCTAAAATATGAAAAGTTACCTCTTTGTATTCTGTAATACCGTCATTCAATGCACTATGCTTAAAGATGTTAGTATATGTTTAAGAGAATATATCAAATACATAAAGTAATAATTGAATCGGTGTCAACAAAAACGTTCTAAGTCATGAAAACCATTTTGTCGGGAAACTGAAAAAAACTGTATAGATCTAAATAAACAGTATAGGTAAAATTTTAGAATGTTTTTGACACTTTTAGATGTAATGTTTCATATTTCTAAGTGCAAAATAGTAGGTGTACATATATGATATATATGTTCAAATGTGGTCGACTTAGAACTTTTTTGTTTACAGTCCTAAGATGACACAAAAAAACCTTAATTTTGTTTTAAAAAATGTATATTTAACCTAAAAAATACAATTTTTAAGTAAAAGTTTTAAATATAAGCATTTAATAATTTCTTGAATGCTTCAAAATGTCATGTTTTCTCCTACTGGATGTCATATTCATCTTCCCCAGTATTGGGACTATCAGTTGTTGGCCACTCCATTAATTCGTCATAAAACTGTCTGACACTATTAGGTATAAAAGTTAACAACTTTTGTTGGTACCTTACCGGATGGATAACAAAGTATTGTATGAAATTCAATTGATTGATTGTTAACTTGAGAAAGTTTATAGGTTTGTTCCATAAACCCATCAATAAAAGACCTACAAACAATCACACCTTTAGCTGTTCCATAGGTAAAGTGCATTAAAGAACTTATCCAAAAGACATCATATCCTTAACAGGAATAAGTTTTCCTCTTATTTCCTCAGAAATGAACGTCTTTTCGTCCCAGCGACTGGGGGACGACCAAATCGTAAATTGAAGTTGTTTTATTAACAGCCTGGTATGAGCACTGATTGCATTACTGCCCAATTTTTTTCCACGAAGATCCTTCGGGGTTTTACCCATTAATAATAATGAACGAAGTTTTCTAATACGACTTATTTTAATTCCATAGAGCGATACATACTATACATATAAATGCTTCTATACATACCTTTTCTCTGGTTTCACCCACAATTATCTCGTATGTAAAATAAACATTTGCAGAAGCACCTTCTTTTCTGGGTCTATGGGTTTGTTCATTGTTACAGGTACCTAATCAATGATTGTAAAAAAATATCTTGCTCGTTCTTAGTTTCCAATGTTCTTAAATTAACGAATATCTCTTCAGCTTGATTCTGCAAGCGGTCTGTACACTCTGCTTACATCTGATATAAAAAAATTCTTGATGAAATAAACCTTAGTTTATTATATAGACTGCAAAACGTATCTTACCTGCAATCAGGGCCAACAGTGATACCTGGTAGAACTCTACCTTTGTAATTAATGTACTCTTCACCTTTGACTCTGGCATTTCTCACGATATTTCGTTTCCACTTAGCTTCATTTTTTACTTTTCTTCCGTCGCTGGTACTGCTTGGTTCGTTATCCATCGCAATTTTTAAAAGAATACAATAAAATGGTGCTAAATACAACTTTAACCTCACAAAACCAATCATCAAACATGTGGTTATTTAATTTTATTAGAGATTCACAGAATATACAGGATTTATTAATACCGTACAAACACGTCATATATCTTAATAGTGCCTACAAAAACATTCTGAATCACTGACATAGAATCTTTTAGTCTACAATGATATATTTCAGTTTTCTATTTAATATACATGGAGAGTAGAGACTTAGAATGTTTTTGTACCAAAATATGCGCTTTTGTTCATAGAACAATTTTCCATCAAAATGTCAAAAATGAAAAAAAAAACGACTTAAAATGTTTTTGTTTACACCGAATTAATTAGTTTCTTTATATGTTACCTATATTCTAAATACGAATAACTAATTAGTGTTATACTGAAAAAGTTTTGAAAGAAGAAAAATTTAAAATATTTGCATTAATATCTTACCTTAGCAGATAAAGAAGCGTATCTTTAAAAATCCGTATATCAACGAACTCGTCTAGATTGATATAAAGTTGTCTCCATTTATCCATCGGCGATAATACAATTCAAATACCACCTTTAGTAAAGACAAATTAAGCTATTTTTTTTACCACCAAAAATGAGATGTTTTAACCAAATGCTGCTTCGAATATTATGTGCAGAATTATTTTCAATTAGGTTCCGCTAATGAAACTGCTTTTTTGTCGTTAAAAGTAGAAAAAAAGTTTAATTTCTCTTGCTTAATATTTACCATCTAATAATTTTAACTGTACTAACATGCGAGTGCTTACTTTAACATATTGGCTGCGTTCCCAAAGTATGTAAACCACGGAACTGTGCATTACCAGCCCCCGGGACCGGTAGCTTGGCACGAACAAGATGCGTTACCGACCGTCGGGGACGGGTAATAACATAATTAGTTTTTATATTTTTACAGTTCTATAGTATAAATTATATGAGCTATAAGATCAATTATTAAATGTAAAAATATATAAAAACTTACCATTGTCATCGTTTTTTGATCAGGTTTCCTGTTAAGTATGTTTTAAAGTGTCAAGACAGCTTACTATTTTTACAGAGTTAAATTAAAAGATCAAATTACAGAAGACTTCTTAATATTTTATTAGTATAAATGATCTGCGAAAACAAAAAAAATGTGTAAACTAAATATGTTCTTAGTGTTTAATAAAAAACAAAAAAGTTTCAGAATGCTATTAAAGCAAGATAAACACATGCCCTGATTGTCCAGGACATGCAATACAATAACTTAATACTTTTGTCAACATATTACTTGCTTGTTTGCTTGAATAGGTTTCTCTTAATTTGGGATTGCATTCTTAGCATTGTCTTTGCCTTCTTCTTTTCTTACCAGGTCCTGACGGTTTAACAAAAGTATGTAGAACTCTTTTGGAAGTATTGGTGTCTTCGTGTGCAACGAAAGTAACAAATTAACTACCGCGTCAATCTTGCTCTAAATTCCATTATAGATAATTTTGTGGAAGAACTAATCTTGTTAAAAACAAACCAGGCATTTACAATAGCTGTTCCAAACAAAAATTCAAAGGCTAATTTACGGTACCTACCGATCGGTACCGATCACTAAAGTCTACTCCTTTTTTTGCTTGATAAATGCAATTTTGCAATACAAGCTCACCTTGCCAGTTTTGCTTTCTTGTTGGTTCTGGGCTGTATGAATTGGATTAGTACTTAATATAGTACCCCAAATTTCACCCTTTTTCATTTTTTTATTTACAGTTGTATGTCGGTCAGATAGCTCAGCGGGCTGTGCGGCTGCCTCTCATTCGCTTCACTGTCGAATGGTTTAGTGGATGTGGGATCGAGCCCAAGCTCGGTGTACAGCAAACAAAAAGTCTAACGCAGCAGTTTAAAATTCTAGATGAATCTGCGGCTTAGACTAGGATATGCTGGGATCTGATCGGCCTATGGTGGAGCAGTACGGCAAGAGATAAGGGCTTGCGGCTCGGTGATACTCCTCCATAGATCCCTACCGGACAGGCGTAACGCCTAAAAAAACCGGATATATATATATATATATATATATATATATATATATATATATTTACAGTTTTGGAAGTACCTCTTCTATTGGACCTCAGGGTTCCACAATAATTTTTTTTAGTAATAATTTGGCTTAAGGTAAACTCGAGTAATAATTATCAGCATACAAGTAGCAATAATAGCCATTTTCGAATTCAACATCTGTTCAAGGAGATCATACACTATTTGCTCACTCTGAATAGTATTTGCATTAGTAGTAATATTTTACCAATATAAACGATTGTGTTGTTAGTGTTGTTAGTAGATCCATCCACTCTACATAACTTATCTAATTTATTCCATAACGGCTATGTTTTATTTGGCAGATATTGCTTTATTTGCAGTATTCCTTCATGATGTACGATACTGTCATCGACTAACAAAATCCGTCCTGGAGTTAATGCAGCTTAAAAATTTTTGTTCAGTATTTTTTTAACTTCACCTAGCTTCTTCTTCTTCATGTGCCTTGTCCGTTTCGAACGTTGGCAATCAACATGGCTATTGTGACTTTGTTTACGGCAGATCTGAATAGTTTAGCAGATGACAATCCGAACCATTGCCGCAAGTTTTGGAGCCGCAAGTTTTGGAGTGTCTTCTCCTCCCTGGACCCCTTCTGCTATCTATTTTCCCTTGAACGATCAGCTGTAGTACTTTATATTTATTATGTCTCATAACGTGACCCAAGTATTCCAACTTTCTTTTCTTTATACTTATACCTACCTACCTACCTCTCTCTCTTTACCTATCCGGCGTAGTACCTCTTCGTTGGTCACGTGCTCAGTCCAGGATATACGTAATATACTTAGGTAAGCCCACATTTCGAAGGCCTCTACTTTTTTCATCAATGTTGCGGTCATTGTCCACGCCTTCATTCCATATAACAAAACCGGGAATACATAACATTTCAGAAGTCAAATTTTGAGAGGTAGGGTGAGGCGTTTAGAGGTGAAAATTTGCTTCATGCTAGTGAACGATGCTCTTGCCTTTTCTACTCTTATACGTATTTTCTTCGCTTGATCCCAATTTGAGTTAACTGTTGTTCCCAAGTAGATGTACGAATTCTTTAGAAAATAGATGTTCAATTCTTTCATTGTCTAAGATCAGTTGCTATGGTGGTTGTTGGGTTTTGCTTACTAACATCCATTTGGTTTTTGTGATATTTAGTCTGAGTCCGTATTGTGCACTTGTTTTTTGTATCTTACTCATTAGGCAACTCAGTTCCTCCATGCTACTTGATAGAATCACAGTGTCATCAGCATAACTTATGTTATTAATTATTTCTCCATTTATCTTTATGTCTTCTGTGCTTTCCTCCAGCGCTGTCTTAAATACATTAAATTAGTAGAGTATACATTAAAGAGAATAGGAGACAAGATACAGCCCTGTCGTACCCCTTTCTTAGTAGTCTATAAAGCATACATACACGTCTTTGTTCATGTCTCTGCAGCGCT